CATACAACTATCTACTGGGGCTTTGGGGGGAAAAAATAAATAAATAAAATCTTTAAAAAAAAAAAAAAGAAACTACAACAAGATGCCACCTCACACCCACAAGGATGGCTACTGGCAAAAACAGGGAAAACGACAAGTGCGGGGAAGATGTGGAGAAATTGGAACCCTGGTGCACTGTTGGTGGGAATGTAAAGTGGTGCAGTCACAGTGGAAAATGTTATGGAGGTTCCTCAAAAAAGTAGACATAGAATTATCATACAATCCAGCAATTTCAATTCTGCGTGAACGCCCAAAGGAATTGAAAGCAGGGACCCGAACAGGTATTTGTACACCCATGTTCATAGCAGCATTATTCATGATAGATAAGAAGTAGAAACAACCCAAATGTCCATCAACGGATAGATGGATAAACAAAACGTGGTATATACATATGTAATGGCTAATATTATATGTTAATTTGACCAGGCTAAGGGTGCCCAGATAGCTGGTAAAACACTCTTTGTGGGTGTGTCTGTGAGGGTGTCTCTGGAAGAGAATAGCATTTGAATCAGTAGACTGAGTAAAGAAGAGCACTCCCCCTGGGGCCGACTCCGTGGCCTGGTGGTTGAGTTCAGCGCGCTCAGCTTCGGCAGCCCGGGTTCACAGGGTCAGATGCCAGGCGCAGACCTATACCACTCACCAGCCATGCTGTGGCAGCGACCCACATACAGAATAGAGGAAGACTGGCACAGGTATTAACTCAGGGCTAATCTCCCTCAAGCAAAAAAAGAAAAAAAAGAGGAAGATTGGCAACAGACGTTAGCTCAGGGTGAATCTTCCTCAGCAAAGATCACCCTCACCAATGCAGGAAGGCATTATCCAATCTGGTGAGGGCCCAAATAGAACAAAAAGCAGAGGAGGGGTGGATTTGCTCTCTGCACCTCCATCCTCTCCCACCCTCAGACATCAGCGCTCCTGGTTCTCAGGCCTTCAGACTCAGACCCAGTTACACCACCAGGCTTCCTAGGTCTCCAGCTCGCAGAAGACAGATCATGAGACTTCCTGGCCTCTGTAACCACATGAGTCAATTCCTATAATAAATTTCCTCATCTCTCTCTATTTTTTATATATATATATATTATTGAGTCTGTTTCTCTGGAGAATTCCAATACAATACACAATTGAACTATTATTATCCAGCCTTAAAAAGGAAGTAAATTCTGACAGCTGCTACAATATGGATGAACCTTGAGGACATTATGCTCAGTGAAATAAGCCAGTTACAAAAAGACGAATACTGTGTGAGTCCACTTACATAAGGTACCAGAGCAGTCAAATCCATAGAGACAGAAAGTAGAATGGTGGGTGCCAGGGCCTGGGAAGGGAGGGAGGGAGGAATGGGGAGTTAGTGTTTAATGGGGACAGAGTTTCTATTTGGGAGGATGAAAAAGTTCTGGAGATGGATGGTGGTGGTGGTTTCACAACGAAGTGAATGGACATAATGCCACTGCAACTATGCACTTAAAATGGTTACGATGGTAAATTTTATGTTAGGTAAATTTTTTTTTTTTTAATTTTTATTTTTATTTATTTTATTTATTTATTTATTTATTTATTTTGTGAGGAGATCAGCCCTGTGCTAACATCCGCCAATCCTCCTCTTTTTTTTGCTGAGGAAGACGGCCCTGGGCTAACATCCGTGCCCATCTTCCTCCACTTTATATGGGACGCCGCCACAGCATGGCTTGCCAGCAGTGCATCGGTGCGCGCCCGGGATCCGAACCAGCGAACCCCGGGCCGCCGCAGCGGAGCGCGCGCACTTAACCGCTTGCGCCACCGGGCCGGCCCCATGTTAGGTAAATTTTAACACCACAAGAAAAATGAAGAACTATCCATGAGTCTGTATGGATATAAATGACTGAATAAATAAATAAATGGGGGAAAAAATTCAAATCTCCCACACAGAAGAATTCCAAATAATTTATGTACATATTTTACCCTCAAGAAGGGGGAGCACACCCCCCACACACTCTTTAATTGTGGGCCTGTTCAGTGCCTTCCTTCCAAAGAGTCAGGTATGAAGAGGGAGAGAGGGCAGGTGACCAAGCTCACGTCACCGAGATGAATCACAGTGATGCGGTGTGAGAAGAAGGGCCCTGCACCTCCGTGGTCTCCTCCCGAAACCCACGACCCCAGTCTAAGCAAGAGAAAACACCAGACAAATCCCAATACAGGGACGTTCTACAAGATGTCCTGACCAGCGCTCCTCAAAACTCTCAGGTCATCAAAACCAAGGAGGAGCCCAAGGGGACGTGACAACTAAGTTTACTGCGGGATCCTGGGACAGAAAGAGGACACTCGGTAAAAACTAAGGAAATCTAAACGAAGCAGGGACTCTAGTCAATAACACTATCAACATGGTCGGTTAAATGTGACGAATGTACGGTGCTAGTGTAACATGTTCTTAATAGAGGGAATGAGTGTGAAGTGTGTGCAAACTCTATGCTGTCAGCAATTTTTCCGTAAGCCTAAACCTATCCTAAAAATGTTTATTTAAAAAAATCCAAATATATCAATAATCAAAATAATGCCATTTAAAACGATCTCCACTTTAAAGGCAGATTGTCAGACCGGATAAAAACAAACTCCAGATGCTTTCTGCTCACGAGACACAACCTGCAAACGTGAGGCTACGGAAAGGTCGGAAGCCGAATGCGGAGAACCCCGAGGCAGCGACCTCCAGGGACCTGCAGCTCTTCTTTGAGGGGGTGTCACAGGCACTGCGAGCTCCACGCGCTTGCTGGGTCTGGGGTCGCAGTCTCAGAACATTCTCTTCAAGCACCTCTGGATTGGCATAAAAATCGATCATTGATCCACAAAGAAATCTCGACCTTAAAGATCAGCATCAAACTGATCAGCTTTTCTGACTACCGATGTTTCGATTAACCGTTAACTCAAGACCAGAGTTGAAAGGGGTTGTTTCTCGAAAGGAGTGGGCCGGGAGGGCTGCGGGTTACCAGCCCTGGACACTACCTACGGTTTTAGTGAAGACACAGGCTCGTCTTGGAACACGTGACCGTAGCCATCCGGGACCTTCCGGGGGAGCGTCAGAACCCCACCCCACGGGGGAGGGCGATGACCAGGAGGGGCTTCGCCCGCCCCTG